GACCCCGGGAGGAAACCGGGAGAGGGCAATGAAATCGGGAGTCTCCCGCGAAAATCGGGAGGGTTGGCAAGTATGATCATATGTTCAGTGTATCATATGTTCAGTGTATCATATGTTCAGTGTACCTGATGTTCAGTGTATCATATGTTCAGTGTATCATATGTTCAGTGTACCTGATGTTCAGTGTATCATATGTTCAGTGTATCATATGTTCAGTGTACCTGATGTTCAGTGTATCATATGTTCAGTGTACCTGATGTTCAGTGTACCTGATGTTCAGTGTACCTGATGTTCAGTGTACCATATGTTCAGTGTACCTGATGTTCAGTGTATCATATGTTCAGTGTACCCGATGTTCAGTGTATCATATGTTCAGTGTATCATATGTTCAGTGTACCTGATGTTCAGTGTATCATATGTTCAGTGTACCTGATGTTCAGTGTACCTGATGTTCAGTGTACCTGATGTTCAGTGTACCTGATGTTCAGTGTACCATATGTTCAGTGTATCATATGTTCAGTGTATCATATGTTCAGTGTACCTGATGTTCAGTGTACCTGATGTTCAGTGTATCATATGTTCAGTGTACCTGATGTTCAGTGTACCTGATGTTCAGTGTACCTGATGTTCAGTGTATCATATGTTCAGTGTATCATATGTTCAGTGTACCTGATGTTCAGTGTATCATATGTTCAGTGTACCTGATGTTCAGTGTACCTGATGTTCAGTGTACCTGATGTTCAGTGTACCTGATGTTCAGTGTACCATATGTTCAGTGTATCATATGTTCAGTGTATCATATGTTCAGTGTACCTGATGTTCAGTGTATCATATGTTCAGTGTATCATATGTTCAGTGTACCTGATGTTCAGTGTACCATATGTTCAGTGTACCTGATGTTCAGTGTATCATATGTTCAGTGTATCATATGTTCAGTGTACCTGATGTTCAGTGTATCATATGTTCAGTGTACCTGATGTTCAGTGTACCTGATGTTCAGTGTACCTGATGTTCAGTGTACCTGATGTTCAGTGTACCATATGTTCAGTGTACCTGATGTTCAGTGTATCATATGTTCAGTGTACCTGATGTTCAGTATATCATATGTTCAGTGTATCATATGTTCAGTGTACCTGATGTTCAGTGTACCTGATGTTCAGTGTATCATATGTTCAGTGTATCATATGTTCAGTGTACCTGATGTTCAGTGTACCTGATGTTCAGTGTACCTGATGTTCAGTGTACCATATGTTCAGTGTATCATATGTTCAGTGTATCATATGTTCAGTGTATCATATGTTCAGTGTACCTGATGTTCAGTGTATCATATGTTCAGTGTATCATATGTTCAGTGTACCTGATGTTCAGTGTATCATATGTTCAGTGTACCTGATGTTCAGTGTACCTGATGTTCAGTGTACCTGATGTTCAGTGTACCTGATGTTCAGTGTACCATATGTTCAGTGTACCTGATGTTCAGTGTATCATATGTTCAGTGTACCTGATGTTCAGTGTATCATATGTTCAGTGTATCATATGTTCAGTGTACCTGATGTTCAGTGTATCATATGTTCAGTGTACCTGATGTTCAGTGTACCTGATGTTCAGTGTACCATATGTTCAGTGTATCATATGTTCAGTGTATCATATGTTCAGTGTACCTGATGTTCAGTGTACCTGATGTTCAGTGTATCATATGTTCAGTGTACCTGATGTTCAGTGTACCTGATGTTCAGTGTACCTGATGTTCAGTGTATCATATGTTCAGTGTATCATATGTTCAGTGTACCTGATGTTCAATGTATCATATGTTCAGTGTATCATATGTTCAGTGTACCTGATGTTCAGTGTATCATATGTTCAGTGTATCATATGTTCAGTGTATCATATGTTCAGTGTACCTGATGTTCAGTGTACCATATGTTCAGTGTATCATATGTTCAGTGTACCTGATGTTCAGTGTACCTGATGTTCAGTGTACCTGATGTTCAGTGTACCATATGTTCAGTGTACCTGATGTTCAGTGTATCATATGTTCAGTGTACCTGATGTTCAGTGTATCATATGTTCAGTGTACCTGATGTTCAGTGTATCATATGTTCAGTGTACCTGATGTTCAGTGTACCTGATGTTCAGTGTACCTGATGTTCAGTGTACCTGATGTTCAGTGTACCATATGTTCAGTGTACCTGATGTTCAGTGTATCATATGTTCAGTGTATCATATGTTCAGTGTACCTGATGTTCAGTGTATCATATGTTCAGTGTATCATATGTTCAGTGTACCTGATGTTCAGTGTATCATATGTTCAGTGTATCATATGTTCAGTGTACCTGATGTTCAGTGTACCATATGTTCAGTGTACCTGATGTTCAGTGTATCATATGTTCAGTGTATCATATGTTCAGTGTACCTGATGTTCAGTGTATCATATGTTCAGTGTACCTGATGTTCAGTGTACCTGATGTTCAGTGTACCTGATGTTCAGTGTACCTGATGTTCAGTGTACCATATGTTCAGTGTACCTGATGTTCAGTGTATCATATGTTCAGTGTACCTGATGTTCAGTGTATCATATGTTCAGTGTATCATATGTTCAGTGTACCTGATGTTCAGTGTACCTGATGTTCAGTGTATCATATGTTCAGTGTATCATATGTTCAGTGTACCTGATGTTCAGTGTACCTGATGTTCAGTGTACCTGATGTTCAGTGTACCATATGTTCAGTGTATCATATGTTCAGTGTATCATATGTTCAGTGTATCATATGTTCAGTGTACCTGATGTTCAGTGTATCATATGTTCAGTGTATCATATGTTCAGTGTACCTGATGTTCAGTGTATCATATGTTCAGTGTACCTGATGTTCAGTGTACCTGATGTTCAGTGTACCTGATGTTCAGTGTACCTGATGTTCAGTGTACCATATGTTCAGTGTACCTGATGTTCAGTGTATCATATGTTCAGTGTACCTGATGTTCAGTGTATCATATGTTCAGTGTATCATATGTTCAGTGTACCTGATGTTCAGTGTATCATATGTTCAGTGTACCTGATGTTCAGTGTACCTGATGTTCAGTGTACCATATGTTCAGTGTATCATATGTTCAGTGTATCATATGTTCAGTGTACCTGATGTTCAGTGTACCTGATGTTCAGTGTATCATATGTTCAGTGTACCTGATGTTCAGTGTACCTGATGTTCAGTGTACCTGATGTTCAGTGTATCATATGTTCAGTGTATCATATGTTCAGTGTACCTGATGTTCAGTGTATCATATGTTCAGTGTATCATATGTTCAGTGTACCTGATGTTCAGTGTACCTGATGTTCAGTGTATCATATGTTCAGTGTATCATATGTTCAGTGTATCATATGTTCAGTGTACCTGATGTTCAGTGTACCATATGTTCAGTGTATCATATGTTCAGTGTACCTGATGTTCAGTGTACCTGATGTTCAGTGTACCTGATGTTCAGTGTACCATATGTTCAGTGTACCTGATGTTCAGTGTATCATATGTTCAGTGTACCTGATGTTCAGTGTATCATATGTTCAGTGTACCTGATGTTCAGTGTATCATATGTTCAGTGTACCTGATGTTCAGTGTACCTGATGTTCAGTGTACCTGATGTTCAGTGTACCTGATGTTCAGTGTACCTGATGTTCAGTGTACCATATGTTCAGTGTACCTGATGTTCAGTGTATCATATGTTCAGTGTATCATATGTTCAGTGTACCTGATGTTCAGTGTATCATATGTTCAGTGTATCATATGTTCAGTGTACCTGATGTTCAGTGTATCATATGTTCAGTGTATCATATGTTCAGTGTACCTGATGTTCAGTGTACCTGATGTTCAGTGTACCTGATGTTCAGTGTATCATATGTTCAGTGTATCATATGTTCAGTGTACCTGATGTTCAGTGTACCTGATGCTTCTGGTTCGGAGCAGTGAGTATTTATATTATAATACATCACTGTCATTTATTTTGCATTTCTTATTTATGAAATGGTATTTCTTAAAAGCTCCTTGCCTCCAAACATGACGCCTTTGCTCTGTGCGGTTGTGTTAATAAATAATGGGATATATTTAGATGGTGTTTGGGCTTCTTTATCAAAGCAGAGTGTGACGGAGCGACAGGAAGGAAATGCAGCCCCTGCGGACGCCTTGTTTTTTTCCCATCATGCTTCAGTGATTAGCAGTGACAGCGCTGAGGGTCAGGAGGAAAACATGTCAGACGTTTCAGACGACATCATCGTGTGTGTGTGTGTGTGTGTGTGTGTGTGTGTGTGTGTGTGTGTGTGTGTGTGTGTGTGTGTGTGTGTGTGTGTGTGTGTGTGTGTGTGTGTGTGTGCCTCTGGCTCTCTGGTTTTAATTGGGTTTCATTGTTATTGTTCTACTTTTCCAGTTATGGCCATATCCATACGGTATTTATATATGTATTATTGTCTTGGTTTAGAGTTACTGTATTGTATTTTCTTTTACTTTATAAGTTAAAGTATTGAAATGTATATGTGAGAAAGAATGATTTTAAATGTGTGAATAATCAGTAACAGGTAATGATGTAATGATAAAGAACACCTTCCCAGTAACAGTACGCCACCTCAGAGAGCCCTACACACACTTCCTGTTTCACTTCAAAATAAAAGCACCCAACCTCAGACTGTCGCTCTGACAACATCAGGACACACTGATGATACATTTCAAAATAAAAGCCCTCTCAATACCAGCTTTCTGAGCTTCCTCCTGACTCACACCTGTAGCGTTAGCATTTAGCTCGCCTGAACGGCCTCACTACGATCAGCAGGTTCATGGTGTTAACCCTGAAATATGATCTAATGACATCATCACAGTTACAGGAGGACCGGCTCTAGAGACAAATACATACAAATACATACAAATACACACAGAAGTATTGACATTCAGTTCCTGGGAAGCAAGAGAATACCAGCGGCCGGAAGAGAGCAGGAAGTGGAGCAGAGAGATTAAAGGTACCTGTAAGTTCTTCCTCCAGACGTTGACGGCAGCGAAGGCGAGCTGCATCTGTTTCCTGCGAGCGTCTTTGTGTCGTTTGTACGCGATCTCGATGAAGATGAGGAAGATCCCGGCGACGATGCCCCCGGCAACCAGCATGAACACACCTGAGGGGAAACACATCGTTAGGAAGCAATCACAGGTGATCTGAAGCACTCAGGTCTAGTACTTGAGTAAAAGTAGAAGTACTCAGGTCTAGTACTTGAGTAAAAGTAGAAGTACTCAGGTCTTGTACTTGAGTAAAAGTAGAAGTACTCAGATCTTGTACTTGAGTAAAAGTAGAAGTACTCAGATGTACTTGAGTAACAGTAGAAGTACTCAGGTCTAGTACTTGAGTAAAAGTAGAAGTACTCAGATCTTGTACTTGAGTAAAAGTAGAAGTACTCAGGTCTAGTACTTGAGTAAAAGTAGAAGTACTCAGGTCTTGTACTTGAGTAAAAGTAGAAGTACTCAGATCTTGTACTTGAGTCAAAGTAGAAGTACTCAGGTCTAGTACTTGAGTAAAAGTAGAAGTACTCAGATGTACTTGAGTAACAGTAGAAGTACTCAGATCTTGTTCTTAGTAAAAGTAGAAGTACTCAGATCTTGTACTTGAGTAAAAGTAGAAGTACTCAGATCTTGTACTTGAGTAAAAGTAGAAGTACTCAGATCTTGTACTTGAGTAACAGTAGAAGTACTCAGATCTTGTACTTGAGTAAAAGTAGAAGTACTCAGATCTTGTACTTGAGTAAAAGTAGAAGTACTCAGATCTTGTACTTGAGTAAAAGTAGAAGTACTCAGGTCTTGTACTTGAGTAAAAGTAGAAATACTCAGATCTTGTACTTGAGTAAAAGTAGAAGTACTCAGGTCTAGTACTTGAGTAAAAGTAGAAGTACTCAGGTCTTGTACTTGAGTAAAAGTAGAAGTACTCAGATCTTGTACTTGAGTAAAAGTAGAAGTACCAGAGTGTAGGAATACTGTAGGGTAGCTTGTGGATTTACTCCAGGTGGAACTAAAGTCTGATTTAACACTTGATTATATTTCACATCATTCATCCACATCTGTAAAGTATGTATTGTAGTGTTAAGTACCTCCAAATGTTACTTAAGAACAGTACTTGAGTAAAAGTACTTAGTTACTTACTTCCCACCTCTGCTCATGGGTCTCCTTACCTGCCATGTTCTCGAATGTGAGGGTAGCGGGGGCGTTGCTCCTGGAGTCACACTCCTGGTATCGGACCCACGTCTTGTCCAGATCCTCCATGAAGCCGTTCTCATGAGAGCTGAGGAGGAGGGACCAGACTTCAGGTCATTTATCTGGACCCGGGGGAACCGAGCAGGCATCCATCCTGACACGCTCTCAACCTCTAAGGCTGGAGCCACACGAGGACGATAACGCAAACGGACCGCAATCGTTATCAAAAAAGTCTTCCGTCCACACGCAACAGGCACCAGCAACGTGTCCGTTCACACGAGACCGCTCGAAAGTGCTGGAGACGCTGTAGTACATATGCCGGGCCTGTAAGTGGCGCTGTACTTCGGCCACAAAATACACCAAAAGCAGCGAAGAAGACTTCTCGCGCATGCATGGTTGCCCTTCTGTTTATTCTCCGCGCTGGATCTAGCAGCAGAGGTGGGGCTTCGCCGGTCAACATGTCCGTTAAAGTTTAAATCTTCCGGACAAAATTATAAAAGTGCCGATCAAAGGTCTTCTTTGTTATTTATTGAGCTTTAAAACAAAAGAATAACGACTCTATATAATAATATAAGAATAAAACACGGAGGACGGAGCCTCTCTTTTCCTCCCCCTCTCCTGACAGCCCGTCAGTATCCGTGGTCTCATGCAGCAGCTGATCCAGTAATGAGTGACCCGACAGTAAAAACATATGTATAACTAGTGTAGGTAGTTTGAGAGGTGATGAAAATAGCTAAGGATGATGATCTAACTTGAAGTGTGTGTTCCGCTCATCGCTCCATCACAGCGGGCGGAGCTGCAGGTCATCATGCAGAGCTGCGTGTCTCCTCTCCTGTCCGATTAGACTTCACTCACGTTTATGTCCATATCGATCAGATCTAGCTGGAAGCTCCTGCTGGGTGCACTGTCCTGTGAGATACCGGGACCTGGCTCGAAACACTGGGGCTATGGCGTCATCGTTATCAGGACATGATCGTATAGAGGCGTACACACGGAGCCGTTTGCCCCCCCAGAGCGTTGCGTCTGCAGATCTACCCACCTTGGGACCCGTTATCGTTATCTACGTTTCCATGTCGGCCTCGTGTGGCCGAACCGTCTATCTGATAGTGAACTGTAGCAGATACGACCGTTATCGTCCTCGTGTGGCCGGGGCCTAAGAGTACCTCCTGCTCCAGATATAGAAGATGGCTGCCGTGTCTTTGGCTCCTCTCCAAACATTCTCTTGCACTATTTTATCTGTTTTATTTGTTGTATGTCCTATATATATGTTGCTCTGTTGGAGGACAGTTTGTCACTGTAGCTGCTGTGCTAATGACAATAAAGCATTGAAACTTGAATCTAAAACCTTTAGAAACCACTAGAACACAACGTGAACAGATCGGCAGCCTCTGTGAGACGCTGCTACAACCTGTCGGCTCTGCTGGAACAAAGCTGAGTTTGAAACGCTCACTTCTACACTTTGGGAGAACCCCCCCCCGCCCGGTGGTCCGGTGTGTTTACCTGAGAATAGCCAGAGAAACGTTCTGTTTCCAGGGACTGTCTTTCCTCATTCCGATCCCGAATCCGGAGCGGAAGAAGAGCTCTCCTGTCGTCACCAGATCGCACTTCTGCGACGCCTCGAACTCTAACACAGCGCTGTCCCAGATGAAGGCATGAAGCTTGCTGCAGGAGGAGGGGGGGGGGGGGTTAGCACCTGAGCAGAACATCACACCTCTGTATGGTGTCACTGCTGGGACAGAAACTCGACAGTCCAGTCAAAGATCGCTCGCCTGGTACAGACGGTGTCTTCCCGTTTCGCCCCTTCCCAATTCGCGCCTAAATTATTCCCATTTCGCCCCTTTCCCATTTCGCCCCTTCTCCATTTCGCCCCTTTCCCATCTCGCCCCTTTCCCATTTTGCCCCTTCTCCATCTCGCCCCTTTCGCCCCTTTCCCATCTCGCCCCTTTCCCATTTCGCCCCTTCTCCATCTCGCCCCTTTCCCATCTCGCCCCTTTCCCATTTCGCCCCTTCTCCATCTCGCCCCTTTCCCATTTCGCCCCTTCTCCATCTCGCCCCTTTCCCATTTCGCCCCTTCTCCATTTCGCCCCTTTCTCATTTCGCCCCTTCTCCATCTCGCCCCTTCTCCATCTCGCCCCTTCTCCATCTCGCCCCTTTCCCATCTCGCCCCTTTCCCCCCTTTCCCCTTTCGCCCCTTCTCCATTTCGACCCTTTCCCATTTCGACCCTTCTCCATCTCGCCCCTTTCCCATCTCGCCCCTTTCCCATCTCGCCCCTTTCCCATTTCGCCCCTTCTCCATCTCGCCCCTTTCGCCCCTTTCCCATCTCGCCCCTTTCCCATCTCGCCCCTTTCCCATTTCGCCCCTTCTCCATCTCGCCCCTTTCGCCCCTTCTCCATCTCGCCCCTTTCCCATCTCGCCCCTTTCCCATCTCGCCCCTTTCCCATCTCGCCCCTTTCCCATTTCGCCCCTTCTCCATCTCGCCCCTTTCCCATCTCGCCCCTTCTCCATCTCGCCCCTTTCCCATCTCGCCCCTTTCCCATTTCGCCCCTTCTCCATCTCGCCCCTTTCCCATCTCGCCCCTTTCCCATCTCGCCCCTTTCCCATTTCGCCCCTTTCTCATTTCGCCCCTTCTCCATCTCGCCCCTTCTCCATCTCGACCCTTCTCCATCTCGCCCCTTTCCCATCTCGCCCCTTTCCCATTTCGCCCCTTCTCCATTTCGCCCCTTTCCCATTTCGCCCCTTCTCCATCTCGCCCCTTTCCCATTTCGCCCCTTCTCCATTTCGCCCCTTCTCCATTTCGCCCCTTTCTCATTTCGCCCCTTCTCCATCTCGCCCCTTCTCCATCTCGACCCTTCTCCATCTCGCCCCTTTCCCATCTCGCCCCTTTCCCATCTCGCCCCTTTCCCATTTCGCCCCTTCTCCATCTCGCCCCTTTCCCCATTTCGCCCCTTCTCCATTTCGCCCCTTTCTCATTTCGCCCCTTCTCCATCTCGCCCCTTCTCCATCTCGCCCCTTTCCCATCTCGCCCCTTTCCCATTTCGCCCCTCTCCATCTCGCCCCTTTCCCATCTCGCCCCTTTCCCATGACGCGCCTTTCCCATTTCGCCCCTTCTCCATCTCGCCCCTTTCCCATTTCGCCCCTTCTCCATTTCGCCCCTTCTCCATTTCGCCCCTTTCTCATTTCGCCCCTTCTCCATCTCGCCCCTTCTCCATTTCGCCCCTTTCTCATCTCGCCCCTTCTCCATCTCGACCCTTCTCCATCTCGCCCCTTTCTCATCTCGACCCTTTCCCATTTCGCCCCTTCTCCATTTTGCCCCTTTCCCATTTTGCCCCTTCTCTATTTCGCCCCTTCTCCATTTTGCCCCTTTCCCATTTCGCCCCTTCTCCATTTCGACCCTTTCCCATTTCGCCCCTTCTCCATTTCGCCCCTTCTTCATTTCGCCCCTTCTCCATTTCGCCCCTTTCCCATTTCGCCCCTTCTCCATTTCGACCCTTTCCCATTTCGACCCTTCTCCATCTCGACCCTTTCCCATTTCGACACTTCTCCATCTCGCCCCTTTTTTAAATTAGGCCACATAAGAAATTAAACTTGTTTTGCTTGGTCGTGGGTCTTAGGGTTAGAGTTTATAGATCTAATGATGCATCCCATGAAGCATTGCAATAAGTCTGTTGATGAATCAGAGGCTGTTGTTGGGGCTGCATGGGACAGGGGGCGAGATGGGACAGGGGGCGAGATGGGACAGGGGGCGAGATGGGACAGGGGGCGAGATGGGACAGGGGGCGAGATGGGAATAAACCGGTACAGACAGCTATCAAAATGATGGGGGTTGTGGTGGAACATTACGGGACATAATTCACCGTGATATATAGTGTGTTGCACCACGGACCAGTTAGTGGGTGGTACCTTGTTCCGGTTGTTGTTGTTGTTGTTAGCATTCCAGCTTCACGGTAGCATGTAGCAAGTATATTCTTTTGTCTGTAATCTAATGGAAAATAAAGTGTGGAGTTCCATACTTAACACACCGCCTCCGACTCCCATTCATCAGCTCTAAAGGGTCAATAAAAAACATCCATCTCCCCTAAAACATATACGAGCAGTCCATTATTAGACAGGCACAAAACATGGTGTCTGATCCCCCGCCCCACATGCTCCACCCAGACCCCCAGCTCCTCCCGTCTGGTTGAACATTCAGGCTGAGCACTCATTCCTGCCTACAGTCTGTCCTTTGAGAGTCTCAACACTCACATGTGATGTAATACACTTTTAAATGTTGGCCATGTTGTGCAACAGGTCGCCTGCGTCAGTATGTGCATGAGTGATGATATGTGTATGTATTTTTATGTTTATTAGGTTTGTATATGTACATGTATGCAGAACTGTATTGTAATGTATTCAGATCCACGAAGCTATTTCCGTTGACTCAAAACCCATCTCTTGGCATCTGTCTTCCTTGTAGACTAATCTCCATCCCCTAGTTTCCATCTACATTACGGGGACAATAAAGTATATGGTATGGAAGGAGGAGGCACTGACTTGTCTCTGACGGCCACGATGGCCTCTGCGGCGCTCTCATAGTTGTGCTTCTCCATGTGGCGGTACATGGTGCTCAGCTCCACCTGCCGTCTGAAGTAGATATCCACCGAGCTCTGCTTCACTGTGGCGTAGATGAACTTATCCGACGGGTTACGCAGCTGAAAACAGAGCACAGGTCAACTCTGATCCGCCCGGAAACAGGGACAGGAAGCGCGTCCCCTGTAGACGATTGGTTATTTAGGGTTAAAGGTTAACTGGAGCTTACATCCAAATACATCCCAATGTTTGACCACATGTCATTTAGAGAATCTCTTCAGAAGAAAGTGGGTCAATGATTTGATGGTTGACTGACCCTTATAGGGGCTTCTTGGTTTCATGTATTTCATGTTTCATGCACTCACATCTGCATACTTATGTAAATATATGTTCATACAAATGCTCAATTTTTTTAAACATTCACCAAAGCCCTTTTGTAATATTCCATCAAAGCAGGCGAGTGGAAAGACTTTGTGTAACATCTGCTGGTTTTAAAGTGCTCTGTAATACCTTGGACCCGAGCAGGCAGCGCAACTCTCCTGGAAGGTCTAACGCATTTCAACTTATAAAATACTAATCTTTCTATTTATTCCCATGTGTTGTGAGCGGCTCACCCTGGGGTCGTTGATGCCAGTGATGCGCTCCTCAGGCCGGTCCAACACAAGGAAGGCTGCCAGGTTGGCAGTATATGATGCTACGATGATCATAGCGAATCCTGCCCACACCATACCCAGAATCCTCGCTGAGAAACTCCTGGGAGCTCCTACACACACACACACACACACACACACACACACACACACACACACACACACACACACACACACACACACACACACACACACACACACACACACACACACACACACACACACACACACACACACACACACACACACACACACACACACACACACACACACACACACACACACACACACACACACACACACACACAGTGAGCTAAAGGACTCTCTCAGTGTTATCTCAGTGGGTCCCTAACGTTTTGGTCACCATTAATGTAAACAGTTATTTCCGAGGCACACGTTTATATGATCATTATAGTTATAAAAAAATAAGAGAATAAATGAAAAACAGGTATGAAATACTATATGACAGTAAAACAAGAATAAAGTTTAAAAGGGCAGTGATTTGTAAAATATCCATAAAGAAAAAGTAAATCTGCTTCCAGTTCTGTTTCAAATGGTGCTGAGAGAGGTATCCATAGATCTCTCATGTTGCTCTCAAAGTGCACCAGATTGATGCTTTTAACTTCAATATTTAAAAATAAATCTTCCCGGGGGAGCTTGACCCCAGACCCTCCTATGTGAGGTCCACACACCACCTATAAAAATAGCACTTTACCCCCGCTTACACCTATAACACGTGAGCTGATTATCGAGCCTTCATTGTAACAGTCGCGGGTGCACTGTGTGTGCGCGTGAGGAGTGTTGCAGGAGAACATTCCACTGGAGCGACCGGTACATTAATGGGAAACCCTAAATGTTTGAGCACCCTCTATGAAACGTCAAGCTACCCCACAGCACTCCCAAAAGAAATCAGCATAGACTTTTGAGAAAAAGTCAGAATTCTGAGATGTTGAGAAAAAAAGTTAAATGTTGAGAAAAAAGTTAGGATTTGGGGAAAAAAGTCATATTTTTGAGATTTTGAGAAAAAGTCATATTTTTGAGATTTTGAGAAAGTCATATTTTTGAGATTTTGAGAAAAAGTCATATTTTTGAGAAAAAGTCATATTTTTGAGAAAAAGTCATTTTTGAGAAAAGTCATATTTTTGAGATTTTGAGAAAAAGTCTGATTTTTGAGAAAAAGTCTGATTTCTGAGATTTTGAGAAAAAGTCAGATTTTTGAGATTTTGAGAAAAAGCTGATTTTTGAGATTTTGAGAAAGTCTGATTTTTTAGAAAGTCTGATTTTTGAGAAAAAGTCTGATTTTTGAGAAAAAGTCTGATTTTTGAGAAAAAGTCTGATTTTTGAGAAAAAGTCTGATTTTTGAGAAAAGTCAGATTTTTGAGAAAAGTCAGATTTTTGAGAAAAGTCAGATTTTTGAGAAAAGTCAGATTTTTGAGAAAAAGTCAGAATTTTGAGATTTTGAGAAAAAGTCTGATTTTTGAGAAAAGTCAGAATTTGGAGAAAAAGTCAGAATTTTGAGATTTTGAGAAAAAGTCATATTTTTGAGGTTTTGAGAAAAAGTCATATTTTTGAGATTTTGAGAAAAAGTCATATTTTTGAGATTTTGAGTTATATTTTTTAGAAAGTCTGATTTTTGAGAAAAAGTCATATTTTTTAGAAAGTCTGATTTTTGAGAAAAAGTCTGATTTTTGAGAAAAAGTCTGATTTTTAAGAAAAGTCAGAATTTTGAGATTTTGAGAAAAAGTCAGAATTTTGAGAAAACTACCAACAAATTCTCTTAGTTTTGACTACTTCCGTTCTTGAGAGGATCAGAAATACATGGAACCTGAGATTGAAGCTCAAGCCGGGGACCAGGGAGACTTTTCTAACAGTTCCTAACCCCAGACATCAGAACAGGAAGTGGAGTACCAACCTTCTCCTATCCCAGAGTTCAACAGCACTCCCCATGAGAACCACATGGCGGAGGACAGGGTGAGGGCGTCTTCTTCTTCTTCTTCACTGTTCACTTTAAACCTTCCAAACGGGCTGCGGACACACAGGAAGTCACAACTGGTTATTGTTGTTGATTCAAAGGACAGTCACAACAACAACAACAACAACACTGCTCGTACTGCACACAAACAAACCTCCAGAGTCTGGTTCATCTGACGTTAATCACTAACAGGTGAACTCATGGGGGGGGTCTCTCACCTGAAGCGGTCTAATAGGTAAAGCATCACTGACAGGGGGGGGTCTCTCACCTGAACCGGTCTAATAGGTAAAGCATCACTGACAGGGGGGGGTCTCTCACCTGAACCGGTCTAATAGGTAAAGCATCACTGACAGGGGGGGGTCTCTCACCTGAAGCGGTCTAATAGGTAAAGCATCACTGACAGGGGGGGGTCTCTCACCTGAACCGGTCTAATAGGTAAAGCATCACTGACAGGGGGGGGGTCTCTCACCTGAACCGGTCTAATAGGTAAAGCATCACTGACAGGGGGGGGTCTCTCACCTGAACCGGTCTAATAGGTAAAGCATCACTGACAGGGGGGGGTCTCTCACCTGAACCGGTCTAATAGGTAAAGCATCACTGACAGGGGGGGGTCTCTCACCTGAACCGGTCTAATAGGTAAAGCATCACTGCCAGGGGGGGTCTCTCACCTGAACCGGTCTAATAGGTAAAGCATCACTGACAGGGGGGGTCTCTCACCTGAACCGGTCTAATAGGTAAAGCATCACTGACAGGGGGGGGTCTCTCACCTGAACCGGTCTAATAGGTAAAGCATCACTGCCAGGGGGGGTCTCTCACCTGAACCGGTCTAATAGGTAAAGCATCACTGACAGGGGGGGGTCTCTCACCTGAACCGGTCTAATAGGTAAAGCATCACTGACAGGGGGGGGTCTCTCACCTGAACCGGTCTAATAGGTAAAGCATCACTGACAGGGGGGGGTCTCTCACCTGAACCGGTGTAATAGGTAAAGCATCACTGACAGGGGGGGGTCTCTCACCTGAACCGGTCTAATAGGTAAAGCATCACTGACAGGGGGGGGTCTCTCACCTGAACCGGTCTAATAGGTAAAGCATCACTGCCACCACGTGGACCGACAGACCGACTAACAGCCACAGTGTGCTCTGGAACGGCTGCATGAAGGAGTCCAGAGTGCTCCGTGGGATCTCCTGCAGACAGCAAACACAACACACACACCACACACACACACACACACACGCACACACACACAGCTTTAATCACCAGTCAGTGCGGTCGTCTTCAAACAGCAGGTTGTTGGTTCGATCCCAGCCCTACAGTCAACATGTTGATGAGTCCTCAAAATACTGAACCCTGAGGTGCTCCTGATGGCCAACGTTGTGTGTGTGTGTGTGTGTGTGTGTGTGTGTGTGTGTGTGTGTGTGTGTGTGTGTGTGTGTGTGTGTGTGTGTGTGTGTGTTCAAGTATTTCAAGTATTGAAAGTATTTAGAGTATTTGGAGCAGTACCTTCTTAACGAGGATGGTGAGACCCTGGTACTTGAAGGGTTTGGAGAACTCGATGTATTGGGCTCTCTCGTTGTTGATGGTCAGGGGGGCCACGATCATATCGGCCAGCCCCCCCAGCAGCTCCCCCATCATGCCGTTCCACTCCTTCTTATTGCTGTTGTTCACCTGGAGATAAATAATACATATAATAATAAAATAAAATACATAAGTACAATATTACCATCAGTCTGAAGTATTAAGAAATATATCTATGAAAATGTGTATATTACAATATAAATAATACATTAAAGGGGACCTATCATGCAAAATAATGTATTATTATTTAAATATAAATAATACATTAAAGGGGACCTATCATGCAAAATAATGTATTATTATTTAAATATAAATAATACATTAAAGGGGACCTATACATGAATATGTGTCCCCGGTGTTCCAGGGAACTCACCAAGTGTCAGAAAACACAACCCTCTCTCTTTTCCTCCATACCCAAATCTCTAAAAAAGGGGCTGCAACGGATCTGACAGACATGTTTTATATAGGTATGGCCCTAGAATATATGTTTCAAATATAGCATGATAGGTCCACTTTAAATTGAATGTATACTACAATATATAACAACAATAAACCAGACATGTTTTAATAATAATTATATGAAAGAATACGTATTATATAATACAGTCAAAAATATCAAACCTTTAACATTATATTATAATATATAACAACAATAATACATGTAAACAAAATGTGCCTTACACTACAATATATTATTTGATATACATATTTTTTTATCTTACGCGCTCCTGCGTGCCGAACTTCCCATCAGCCACGAGGTGAACCTCGTAGGTGAAGTTCATGCTCATCGCCAGCTTGATGAGCAGGTCGACACAGAAACCATAGCAACACTGAGGGACGATGGGCTGACCTGCACACACACACACACACACACACACACACACACACACACACACACACACACACACACACACACACACACACACACACACACACACACACCACACACACACACACACACACACACACACACACACACACACACACACACACACACACACACACACACACACACACACACACACACACACACACACACACACACACACACACACACACAATAAGAGACGTGCACACTCCTCAATAATTGTTGGATTTACAGCATAACCCTCTCAGTAAAGTTAAGAAAGATATACAACAAAGTGTGTGTGTGGTGTGTGGTGTGTGTGTGTGTGTGTGTGTGTGTGTGTGTGTGTGTGTGTACCTGGGAGTGTCCCGTTGGGCCCGGTGCAGATCACCTTCTTGATCAGGACTCCGTTGAGCGTGAACTCCTCTTTACACGTCCCGTCAGTCTTCGTAGGTTTCACGTAAACAAAGGGCTCCTGGTGGATGGTCACGATCTGCACACACACACACACACACACACACACACACACACACACACACACACACACACACACACACACACACACACACACACACACACACACACACACACACACACACACACACACACACACACACACACACACACACACACACACACACACACACACACACACACACACTGTGGGTTCATCGACTCCATGAATCAGATTAATTTAATTGATTAATAAATAAGAATTATCCGTACCTTCAGTTTAGTCGACATCTGATATCCAACTGGTTTCTCCGTCTCTCCTCCGGGCCAGATGATTTTCCTCTGAGGGTTCATCACCACCTGGACACACACACACACACACACACACACACGTTTATAGTTGTGTATACAAGTGTATGACAAGGTGTGTATTTAGTTGTCTGCCGAAGTGTTTATCCAGGGGTGTTTCCAGGTGCTTATATCGTTTTGTATCCAGGTGTATATACATGTTTTTTTCCAGGTGTGTTTGCAGGTGTGTTTCCAGGTGTGTTTGCATGTGTGTTTCCAGGTGTGTTTCCAGGTGTGTATCCAGGTGTGTATCCAGGTGTGTTTCCAGGTGTGTATGCAGGTGTGTTTCCAGGTGTGTATCCAGGTGTGTTTCCAGGTGTGTATCCAGGTGTGTATCCAGGTGTGTTTCCAGGTGTGTATGCAGGTGTGTTTCCAGGTGTGTATGCAGGTGTGTTTCCAGGTGTGTATCCAGGTGTGTTTCCAGGTGTGTATGCAGGTGTGTTTCCAGGTGTGTATCCAGGTGTGTTTCCAGGTGTGTATGCAGGTGTGTATCCAGGTGTATCCAAGTGTATTTCCAGGTGTGTTTCCAGGTGTGTATTTAGGTGTTTATACATGTGTGTATCCAGGTGTGTATCCAAATGTGTTTCTAGGTGTCTATACACGTGGGTATCCAGGTGTGTATCTAGGTGTTTATATAAGTGTATGACCAGGTGTGTATTTAGTTGTGTATCCAAATGTATTTCCAGTTGTGTATTTAGTTGTGTATCCAGGTGTGTATACATGTGTTTATCCAGGTGTGTATGCAGTTGTGTATCCATATGTGTTTCCAGGTGTGTTTCCAGGTGCGTCTGCAGGTGTGTATCCAGGTGTGTTTGCAGGTGTGTCTGCAGGTGTGTCTCCAGGTGTGTTTGCAGGTATGTATCCAAGTGTCTAAACATGTGTGTCTGCAGGTGTGTATCCAGGTGTGTTTCCAGGTGTGTCTCCAGGTGTGTTTGCAGGTGTGTATCCAAGTGTCTAAACATGTGTGTCTGCAGGTGTGTTTCCAGGTGTGTCTCCAGGTGTGTCTCCAGGTGTGTTTGCAGGTGTGTATCCAAGTGTCTAAACATGTGTGTTTGCAGGTGTGTATCCAGGTGTGTTTCCAGGTGTGTCTCCAGGTGTGTCTCCAGGTGTGTTTGCAGGTGTGTATCCAAGTGTCTAAACATGTGTGTTTCCAGGTGTCTATCCATGTGTGTATCCAGGTGTGTATTTAGGTGTTTATACATGTGTGTATCCAAATGTATTTCCAGTTGTGTATCCAGATGTGTATCCAGGTGTGTTTCCAGGTGTGTTTCCAGGTGTGTTTCCAGGTGTGTTTCCAGGTGTGTATCCAAGTGTGTTTCTAGGTGTCTATACACGTGGGTATCCAGGTGTGTATCTAGGTGTGTATACAAGTGTATTTCCAGGTGTGTCTCCAGGTGTGTCTCCAGGTGTGTCTCCAGGTGTGTTTCCAGGTGTGTCTCCAGGTGTGTCTCCAGGTGTGTTTCCCTACCTGTGACCCGTTGAAGACCCCGACCTGGACGACGCGCCCTTGTTTCTGCTGGTAGTTCATGATGCTGTAGGTCGCGAAGCGCCGGTCGCCGTCGTCGTTAAACTCGATGCGTCCCGTCAGACCGTCGGGATACTTTGATGACATCAGCACTCTGGAGAGCCAATCAGAGAGCAGAACACAACATTACATCACCAGATCACCAAACTTGAAAACAACCTTTAAACTGGCATTCCTCACTGATGGCTGACGAAGTGAGGTAAAACATTTAAATATAAAAATTACACAGACAGTTAAATACTTGACAGAATAATGGAAAAGGATAAAGAGACATTTCAGATTAACCTGGTTTAATTTGCACCTGTGTCAATGTAAACTAACAGTGTGCAGGTATCTTTTTCATACATATTTTTTATTTAAAACAATTTACACATTTAAAAACCTGATATAGGACACAGACCCCCTCAAGTTCGGATAGTGGGGGTATTGCATTTTAGGCGACTGTATCTGTATCTTGATGTGTCCTTAGGCAAGATACTGTGTGTGTGTGTGTGTGTGTGTGTGTGTGTGTGTGTGTGTGTGTGTGTGTGTGTGTGTGTGTGTGTGTGTGTGTGTGTGTGTGTGTGTGTGTGTGTGTGTGTGTGTGTGTGTGTGTGTGTGTGTGTGTGTGTGTGTGTGTGTGTGTAATCCTCAGCTGTAGTGTCTGTGGTGGTGAATGTTATCATTGGGCAGGACTCAGACTGCTGAAGGTCTGTCTAAAGTGGAGCAGGTCACATGATCAGCGGGATGTCTAAAGTGGAGCAGGTCACATGATCAGCGTGATGTGAGAGGACGGAGGATTGAGGTCAGTCTGAGCGACGGGCAGCGTTATTATCCCCGAATCAGATCAGTGGAGCGTGTCCTGTTATATCTGAACACTACAGGAACACATCTATTAAATACATATATATATAAATCACTAGATCTTTGAAACAAGACATGACATATATATATATATATATATATTATATAGAGAGGGCATACCCATACACCCGTCAATTGTGTTTTTACGCTGCTATGGACAATCTTTCACTGATGCACATTCTCAAAGATATTGAAGTGACTGTTATTTTGTATTTACTGATTGTTGTGCTTTTATGTATGTCTTAAAGGTGGGGTAGGTAAGTTTGAGAAACCGGCTCGAGATACACTTGTTGTTATATTCCATGGAATGCTCTTAACATCCCGATAGCAATGAATATCTGAAGTGCTTTGACAAAAAATCCATAATAAATGTCATCTGTGGAAGCCGTGGTACTGTAAAAAGCACGACCAATCATCTGAGCCGGCCAGGCTAAAATAACTGGATGGCCTACCTGCCTGTCAGCCTTCCATCTGTGCACAAACTTATCTCGAGCCCTCATTGGTCATGTGCGCGTTCGTGTGTGTTGGAGGAGGGGCTCTGTGAGGAAGTGGCAGATTTTCTCCGGTTGTGTATTTTCAAATTCTAGCGATCTCGAGCCGGTTTCTCCAAAATTACCTACCCCACCTTTAATGTGTGCATATGTATAAATGTGTCTTGTATATATACATATTTTTATATATATTTGTTTTTGTATTCTGGATTTTGGGAAACTGTATTTCGATCTCTCTGTACACACAAACTGGAAGATTGACAATAAAGTCAATAGGAGCACGAGTGTTACATAGTGATGTCACCATGTTCCGGAAGAAAACAAAGGAGTCCAATGGAGGTGTTTCAGGTAGCATAGGGGAACTGTGTGTGACAGAAACTCCCTCTGGAGGGAACACAGGGGTTTCAGCCTCTGCAGACCATTTGCATGCACTACAAAAACACTACAGGAGAAGGAACACCACAGAAGAAGAATAGCACCCCTTTAAGTAAACACAAGGAGGACGGAAGTATAACTCGTGAATCTGAGGGATAACATAACATGAGAAAAGTTTAGCTTTACCGCATTATGCCCTCCCCCTCCACACACACACACACACACACACACACACACACACACACACACACACACACACACACACACACACACACACACACACACACACACACACACTTGAATGAAACCTAGATCTTTCACATCAGATCACATGAACGCTGTGCTCTCTGTATCTGGTGTCCGGTGCATCGTGTCCTGACGTGTGATTGGTTTACATGTGGACTGTATTTCTCAGTCAGCTAAATATCTCTGCTGTCTGAAAAAAGCCTAAAACATGCCACCTGCTAGATACTGAGAAACAAAAGCCAGAGCAAACAGAGTCCTAATCCACGAGACTGAAATCAAATGTGTGTAAAGATTATAGAGATCTCACTCTGCACACTTCTACCATTTACAAACACTGACAGACACACAACAACTGTTCTTTACATATTGAAGAGTATTTCCAGTTATACATAAAAAAAAACATATTTTATCAGACAGTTTACAACCTAACAATTCACAAAACCGATCAAATGCAGCCATTTAGCTTAGCGGTGGTGACGTGCAGTCATGTGACCGTGCTGTCGTTACTTTATAGCCCTACATTAGCCACCTTTAGCTTAGCGGTGGTGACGTGAAGTCATGTGACCGTGCTGTAGTTCCAATATAGCCCAACGTTAGCCACCTTTAGCCTAGCGGTGGTGACATGAAGTCATGTGACCGTGCTGTAGTTCCAATATAGCCCAACGTTAGCCACCTTTAGCTTAGCGGTGGTGACGTGAAGTCATGTGACCATACTCTAGTTCCTTTATAGCCCAATATTAGCCACCTTTAGCTTAGCGGTGGTGACGTGAAGTCATGTGACCGTGCTTTAGTTCCTTTACAGCCCAACGTTAGCCACCTTTAGCTTAGCGGTGGTGACGTGAAGTCATGTGACCGTGCTGTAGTTCCTTTATAGCCCAACGTTAGCCGCCTTTAGCTTAGCGGTGGTGACGTGAAGTCATGTGACCGTGCTGTCGTTACTTTATAGCCCAACATTAGCCACCTTTAGCTTAGCGGTGGTGACGTGAAGTCATGTGACCGTACTGTAGTTCCTTTATAGCCCAACGTTAGCCACCTTTAGCTTAGCGGTGGTGACGTGAAGTCATGTGACCGTACTGTAGTTCCTTTATAGCCCAACATTAGCCACCTTTAGCTTAGCGGTGGTGACGTGAAGTCATGTGACCATACTCTAGTTCCTTTATAGCCCAATATTAGCTACCTTTAGCTTAGCGGTGGTGACGTGAAGTCATGTGACCGTGCTGTCGTTACTTTATAGCCCTACATTAGCCACCATTAGCTTAGCGGTGGTGACGTGAAGTCATGTGACCGTGCTGTAGTTCCTGTATAGCCCAACGTTAGCCACCTTTAGCTTAGCGGTGGTGACGTGAAGTCATGTGACCGTACTGTAGTTCCTTTATAGCCCAACATTAGCCACCTTTAGCTTAGCGGTGGTGACGTGAAGTCATGTGACCGTGCTGTAGTTCCTTTATAGCCCAACATTAGCCACCTTTAGCTTAGCGGTGGTGACGTGAAGTCATGTGACCGTACTGTAGTTCCTTTATAGCCCAACATTAGCCACCTTTAGCTTAGCGGTGGTGACGTGAAGTCATGTGACCGTGCTGTAGTTCCTTTATAGCCCAACATTAGCCACCTTTAGCTTAGCGGTGGTGACGTGAAGTCATGTGAACGTGCTGTCGTTACTTTATAGCCCAACATTAGCCTCCTTTAGCTTAGCGGTGGTGACGTGAAGTCATGTGACCGTGCTGTAGTTCCTTCATAGCCCAACATTAGCCACCTTTAGCTTAGCGGTGGTGACGTGAAGTCATGTGACCGTGCTGTAGTTCCTTTATAGCCCAACATTAGCCCCCTTTAGCTTAGCGGTGGTGTCGTGAAGTCATGTGACCGTGCTGTCGTTACTTTATAGCCCAACATTAGCCCCCTTTAGCTTAGCGGTGGTGACGTGAAGTCATGTGACCGTGCTGTAGTTCCTTTATAGCCCAACATTAGCCTCCTTTAGCTTAGCGGTGGTGACGTGAAGTCATGTGACCGTGCTGTAGTTCCTTCATAGCCCAACATTAGCCACCTTTAGCTTAGCGGTGGTGACGTGAAGTCATGTGACCGTGCTGTCGTTACTTTATAGCCCAACATTAGCCACCTTCAGTGGCGAGCCGTGACTTTTATACCTAGGCCCTCTGACCCCCCCTCTTCCCTCGAAAAAAGAAGAAGAGTTATTACGTCTCAGCGTATACTTCAGTGGAATATCAAAACAACGGCCCGGGGTGCAAAACGCATCAATGACAGCGACCCTCTACCCCACAAAACAACACCATTTATCTAAACACCTATCATGACAGAGCACCCACAGCCAAGTAACAATTCAAAATGAATGAAGTCGGCACGGCGGCCCACATTGGAAATGACTTAGGCCTACCTTTGATGATCAAATCACTGAAACACAAAGTCCATCCTCCTGTCCTTTTGGATGAAGCACTTGATGGCGGGTCGTGCAGCTGATCCTTTGCCACTCCAATTTATCATTGTAACTCAATCTTGAAAATGACTCGGTTAATAGTTTCGCAACGATGTCATCACTATCACTGACATGAGCCATCATGAACTAATTTATGCTAATCATAAATCTATCGATCATAAATCTATCGATTAGATTTATGATTCGAAAATAATAAAAGTAGGGGAGACATGTGGATATTATCCGGCTGAACAAAACGTGCATTTATCAAACAGGTTCGTTCCACAGACCTTATTTCCAGCTATTACATCCATGAGAAATCCCATTGCTTTTCTGTCGAGGGAACCCGAGCGCAGCTTACTTCCGTGCTGTAGTTCCTTTATAGCCCAACGTTAGCCACCTTTAGCATAGCGGTGGTGACGTGAAGTCATGTGACCGTGCTGTAGTTCCTTTATAGCCCAACATTAGCCACCTTTAGCTTAGCGGTGGTGACGTGAAGTCATGTGACCGTGCTGTCGTTACTTTATAGCCCAACATTAGCCACCTTTAGCTTAGCGGTGTTGACGTGAAGTCATGTGACCGTGCTGTAGTTCCTTTATAGCCTAACATTAGCCACCTTTAGCATAGCGGTGGTGACGTGAAGTCATGTGACCGTGCTGTAGTTCCTTTATAGCCCAACATTAGCCACCTTTAGCATAGCGGTGGTGACGTGAAGTCATGTGACCGTGCTGTAGTTCCTTTATAGCCCAACATTAGCCATCTTTAGCTTAGCGGTGGTGACGTGAAGTCATGTGACCGTGCTGTAGTTCCTTTATAGCCTAACATTAGCCACCTTTAGCATAGCGGTGGTGACGTGAAGTCATGTGACCGTGCTGTAGTTCCTTTATAGCCCAACATTAGCCACCTTTAGCTTAGCGGTGGTGACGTGAAGTCATGTGACCGTGCTGTCGTTACTTTATAGCCCAACATTAGCCACCTTTAGCTTAGCGGTGTTGACGTGAAGTCATGTGACCGTGCTGTAGTTCCTTTATAGCCCAACATTAGCCACCTTTAGCTTAGCGGTGGTGACGTGAAGTCATGTGACCGTGCTGTAGTTCCTTTATAGCCCAACATTAGCCACCTTTAGCTTAGCGGTGGTGACTTGAAGTCATGTGACCGTGCTGTAGTTCCTTTATAGCCCAACATTAGCCACCTTTAGCTTAGCGGTGGTGACGTGAAGTCATGTGACCGTGCTGTAGTTCCTTTATAGCCCAACGTTAGCCACCTTTAGCATAGCGGTGGTGACGTGAAGTCATGTGACCGTGCTGTAGTTCCTTTATAGCCCAACATTAGCCACCTTTAGCTTAGCGGTGGTGACGTGAAGTCATGTGACCGTAATGTAGTTCCTTTATAGCCCAACATTAGCCACCTTTAGCTTAGCGGTGGTGACGTGAAGTCATGTGACCGTGCTGTAGTTCCTTTATAGCCCAACATTAGCCACCTTTAGCTTAGCGGTGGTGACGTGAAGTCATGTGACCGTGCTGTAGTTCCTTTATAGCCCAACATTAGCCACCTTTAGCTTAGCGGTGGTGACGTGAAGTCATGTGACCGTGCTGTAGTTCCTTTATAGCCCAACATTAGCCACCTTTAGCTTAGCGGTGGTGACGTGAAGTCATGTGACCATACTCTAGTTCCTTTATAGCCCAATATTAGCCACCTTTAGCTTAGCGGTTGTGACGTGAAGTCATGTGACCGTGCTGTAGTTCCTTTATAGCCGAACGTTTACTTCAGAAATCATAAAGTGGTGTTAATATGTGGAGATTATCCTGCTGAACTAAACGTGTAAGAATCATAGATGTTTGTTTCTCAGGGCTTCTGTACGTTCAGAACAACACGGAAGAACCCCGACTGAGATCTGAAGTCAACAGAAGAAGATAAAAATCTGATAACATCCTCATCACTTAGTTGACCTTTCACCTGGATCAGCGTTGATACTGACCGTTTGAAGAGCGGCCCGGTCCTCCAGATGTTGGTGTTTCCCACGCAGCCCCTTGGAGGCTCCGTGATGTTCTCCTTCTCAAACAGCTCCTGCAGCGACTGAGCCACGACCGCCACCGCATCCGCGATGTGAGCCGACTCGTTCTTACCGTTTATCAGCTGGAGGCCCAGCAGGCCTGCACCACACACACACACACACACACACACACACACACACACACACACACACACACACACACACACACACACACACACACACACACACACACACAGACACACACACACACAGACACACACACACACACACACACACACACACACACACACAAAGGAGAGGTTACACACACAGCAGAAAGTGGGCTGCAGACTGGAAACTGCCCTCATTCATACGGCTAATTAACTCGCACACACAGTTTAACTAATCTTATAGATGTAACTAAAGGAGTGCTTCAGTGTAATTCAAACACACACACACACACTCTCAGGGCTTCAGGCGTCAGGTCATTGTTCAGTACCACCAAACTGCATGCTGGGAGTTCACTCTGAGAATCACAGCCGTTTGTCTGAGGAAAGAGAAAAGCCTCACTGGGACGTTATGAACTGTGCCTGGTGATTTCCTTCAGCAGAAACTAGTCACAGTGCAACGAAAAGTGTCTACATCTGCGCTCCAGCTAACTGAGAACAGCACGCTAACACCATTAGTATTCCCTAATGAAACTGCCAGGAACATCTAGCTAATATTTACTAATGAAAACACTGAGAACAGCAGGCTAACACCGTTAGCATTCCCTAATGAAACTGCCAGGAACATCTAGCTAATATTTACTAATGAAAACACTGAGAACAGCAGGCTAACACCGTTAGCATTCCCTAATGAAACTGCCAGGAACATCTAGCTAATATGTACTAATGAAAACACTGAGAACCACAGAAACTACTAGCTAGTGCTGTTAGCAGTGTAGCTAGCTAGTGCCTTCTGAGCAGATAATATTCAGCCATTAAATAGAGAACAGCTAGCTAACATTAGCACTGTTTCAGCTGTTAACTGAAACTGAAGCACTGCAGAAGCATTCCTGCCCAACGGCCCCCTTCAATCACGAAGACAGGATAAGCTACCTTTCTTAAGTTAAAATAAAGAGTAGAACTGGTTATTGCAGTTAAAAACTGATTCTGAATTAAGTTAACGTGTTCCCGTGGCGCAGAGGAATGCTAACGGTGCTAGCAGACGGTTGTCCGTTAGCTGAAGCATCAAATGCAGAAACCTTTTCCTCATAATGTGACAAGTGTCTGGTAAAGAAAAACAACATCAAAATCCATAACGTCACAGTACTGCTTCTTAGGTTTCTTTTCAGGGAATCGTTTCAGAGAGCAGGGGGTGGACACAATAACAGGAACACCTGTGGGATCTGATGCAAGCCAACACAACAGCAGCAGAAATACCTCTGAGAAGACTTCAGGTCTGTTAGTGGTACACCTGTGACGCTCTGTGTTTACTGTTGAATTCTACGTCAGGTACGAGTGTTCATGTTGTCATGTTCACCCACTCTTCATAACTCATTATTTAGAGGTCTTTACACACCTGTACAGAACTCAGGGAGGTGGTGGTGGACATTTTGGAGCAGATTCAAATCACGGTGCGGATACTAGCATTATTTTAAATATATGGAAACGGCCTTGGCGGAGGTCATGGTCCTTTCTAGTTTCATTTTAACTGGTAAGCAATGGTGTTCCTGAGATCCAGACTGTTCTATCGATAAGGAACTGTGTTAAAATAATAGTTTTGATTATTAAACATGGCAAGGAATTAATTAATAAACACATATTTTGTGTGTTTCTGGTATAGGTTCTTAATGGTATTAATTTGAGCCAAAACTCTTACACTGCAATGCATATAGATAGTCGATGTTGGGTTATTAATTATAACTTATTTTCTGGTGTCAATAATAAAGAAGTGATGAATATCCAAATCCAAATAATAAAAGGTCCATCCTCTGAGAAAAGTCACAAAAAAAAAAAAGGGTTTTTCATGAAAATAAAAGTCCTATTTTCTGACGATATTTAAAACTCAATCTCCTCTCACGTTGTCTTCTTTATGGATAAGGACTGCTGGTATTAACAGTTGTTAAAGTAAACCAGGTGGGTTAATATCAATAATAAACGTGTCTTTAATCTGAAATGGTTTCCCTAAAAAGAAACCCCAAACTTCTCTGGCAGAGACAGAACAGCTGAGGATTATTTTCAGAGTGCTATCTTGCCACACTTTTAAGAACATGATGGATCATCTTTGGACACATCTGGAGTTACGGGAAGGGACAGGGATGTGTAGAAAAATTACACATCATTTTTAAGAGTGCAGCAGCTGGTGAGGATGTTTTCTGAAACAGAAAGGGATCAGAGCGGGGAGCAGATCACCCAGCAGCCAGAGGGACGCACCTGAGGGTCAACGTGGACCAGGTTTACTTTAACTCCAACATTATGCCCCAGGAAGTCTTCAAACAGCGGCCAAAGGCTCTTCTGCAGATCCAATGTAGATCTATGGAGGGTCTTACATGGCCAAAAGTATGTGGACATCTCAAATATCTAAATAACTGTAGTGAAAGTCCAAAGTTTTCCACTAACAGACAGCTGGCTAGTGTTGACTAATGAAGACACTTACAATAACTGGCTACCAATGTTAGCATTGCCCATAGAAACTACTGGGAACAGAACAACAAGCTAACATTTTCTGCTTAAACCACTAGCTAGCGCTGTTAGCCCTGAAGCTAGCGATTACTCCTAAAGTAAAGTTAGCTAATAATCGTCCTTTCATAGACCCAATAGGCAGATTATATTAAGGAAAGATAAATAAAGCGAACATTAAAACCTTTCGCTTAACCTGTTAAGCCCCGAGCCTGTTTTTCATGTTTCAGGCTCGAAAATGACATGCCCAAAACAAATGACTACAACTTCACTTCTAAAAGGGTTATATGAATAATTTCTTTTATCAAAGCAAGGTTACATCTGTGAGTTGGATGTAGAAGTGTCAGAATCAATATAGATTTTTCTCAGTTAGAGTAAATTCAGATGGAACATAGTAAAAAAAGGTAAATTCTTACCTCCGCCTAAAGAAAAAACATTACTTATAGTGAAAACCACCCTTGAATGATGGGATGGTAGACTAAAAGCTTTAGGAATCCAAACTATAACATATAATAAGTACCCTGTATCAAGATTGAGGCCAAACAAGTTAAATTTGACATTTTTAGAGAGGTTTAGCAAAAAAAAGGTCCAGGCGGAATAAGCTTTCGGCACATTTGGGTACATCTGGTTCCATCAGTGCCATTTGACCTTTTTCAGGTACCAGACTATAAAAATGATGAATTACATTGAATTATCACCATAGGTATTCATTCCATCCAAAGAAGAAAAAAAAAAAAAAAAAAAAAAAAAAAGACCCGTCGACGGGGGCTTTGGGGCTTAACAGGTTAATATTAGCTTGACAATTAAAGGGTTATTCCAATTTACAAAAACTATTCCAAGATGTTTTACTCGTGAAATATCAAAAGAATGTGACCGTAAATTAAGACTTCTTTGAAAATAGTCAGTTTTTATGAGAAAAGCTATTCGTGTTTTGGACTACTGACTCAACTACATATAGAGTATATTAACAGTATCTTCATGAACACACCAAGTCGGAGAAACATGTTCCCAGAATATCCCAGGAGAGCCTGAACACACCATATCTACTATTGGTGTCCACATACTTCTAGCCGTATCAGCGTGTTGACGTCATCTGGCTGCCCGAGTGATCAGCTGACTCAATAAGCCCCGCCCCCTCCCTACTCCCAGTGGGCGGGAACTCTATCGGCCAATGGCATAGGGGCAGATCATCAAGCAGGAAACGGGAAGCAGCGGCGGCATCTTACCAGTGTTTGTTCAGACACACGTCATGGTAATCGTAGCAACATTAGCAGTTTTTAAACCCACCCAAACCCACCCAACCCCCCCCATCGACCCCGAATATTTCCCCCCCCCCCCCCCCAACACATGTTATAGTGTACGGTGAGAACGAGCAGACGGGCGGGCGGACACACACTATAGAAAATGAAACAAACAAAAAGATGTTAGACACATTTAAAGCCACACAGTTACAATGAGCCAGAAAGAAAACAGTGGTTAGGAACCTTTAAACATGTCTCTCTTTTGTTTAGTTCTTTTACAGATGTTTAAACGTTCAACCAGCAGTTAGAGAAAAACCAGAGAAACACGACCAGGATGCTGAGCAGCAAACTGACTGTGATGAGGAGGAGAATCTTCCTTCATCAGAGACCTGCAGCACTACAGACAGAGAGGCGGCCATGTTTCCATCCAACGGCTCCGTAAACACACGGATCAGTATGTAGTGTCTCTACTTTAAAGAGTCCTCTCCTGCTGATGTTCAGGTGTATATCAGTATGTAGTGTCTCTACTTTAAAGAGTCCTCTCCTGCTGATGTTCAGGTGTATATCAGTATGTAGTGTCTCTACTTTAAAGAGTCCTCTCCTGCTGATGTTCAGGTGTATATCAGTATGTAGTGTCTCTACTTTAAAGAGTCCTCTCCTGCTGATGTTCAGGTGTATATCAGTATGTAGTGTCTCTACTTTAAAGAGTCCTCTCCTGCTGATGTTCAGGTGTATATCAGTATGTAGTGTCTCTACTTTAAAGAGTCCTCTCCTGCTGATGTTCAGGTGTATATCAGTATGTAGTGTCTCTACTTTAAAGAGTCCTCTCCTGCTGATGTTCAGGTGTATATCAGTATGTAGTGTCTCTACTTTAAAGAGTCCTCTCCTGCTGATGTTCAGGTGTATATCAGTATGTAGTGTCTCTACTTTAAAGAGTCCTCTCCTGCTGATGTTCAGGTGTATATCAGTATGTAGTGTCTCTACTTTAAAGAGTCCTCTCCTGCTGATGTTCAGGTGTATATCAGTATGTAGTGTCTCTACTTTAAAGAGTCCTCTCCTGCTGATGTTCAGGTGTATATCAGTGTGTAGTGTCTCTACTTTAAAGAGTCCTCTCCTGCTGATGTTCAGGTGTATATCAGTATGTAGTGTCTCTACTTTAAAGAGTCCTCTCCTGCTGATGTTCAGGTGTATATCAGTATGTAGTGTCTCTACTTTAAAGAGTCCTCTCCAGCTGATGTTCAGGTGTATATCAGTATGTAGTGTCTCTACTTTAAAGAGTCCTCTCCTGCTGATGTTCAGGTGTATATCAGTATGTAGTGTCTCTACTTTAAAGAGTCCTCTCCTGCTGATGTTCAGGTGTATATCAGTATGTAGTGTCTCTACTTGAAAGAGTCCTCTCCTGCTGATGTTCAGGTGTATATCAGTATGTAGTGTCTCTACTTTAAAGAGTCCTCTCCAGCTGATGTTCAGGTGTATATCAGTATGTAGTGTCTCTACTTTAAAGAGTCCTCTCCTGCTGATGTTCAGGTGTATATCAGTATGTAGTGTCTCTACTTTAAAGAGTCCTCTCCTGCTGATGTTCAGGTGTATATCAGTATGTAGTGTCTCTACTTGAAAGAGTCCTCTCCTGCTGATGTTCAGGTGTATATCAGTATGTAGTGTCTCTACTTTAAAGAGTCCTCTCCTGCTGATGTTCAGGTGTATATCAGTATGTAGTGTCTCTACTTTAAAGAGTCCTCTCCTGCTGATGTTCAGGTGTATATCAGTATGCAGTATCTCTACTTTAAAGAGTCCTCTCCTGCTGATGTTCAGGTGTATATCAGTATGTAGTGTCTCTACTTTAAAGAGTCCTCTTCCTCACTGACCTGGATCTGACTTTTTAGAAAGACTTTGTTTGAAAAATATCTCTAATGTTGGATGGAAGCAGAGCCGAGAGAGAGGAAGAGGAGAGAGGTGAGGAAGAGGAGAGAGGTGAGGAAGAGGAGAGGTGAGGAAGAGGAGAGGAAGAGGAGAGGAAGAAGAGCTGATGAAGAGGGGAGGTGATGAAGAGATGATGAAGAGGGGAGGTGATGAAGAGATGATGAAGAGGGGAGGTGATGAAGAGATGATGAAGAGGGGAGGTGATGAAGAGATGATGAAGAGGGGAGGTGATGAAGAGATGATGAAGAGGGGAGGTGATGATGAGATGATGAAGAGGGGAGGTGATGAAGAGATGATGAAGAGGGGAGGTGATAAAGAGATGATGAAGAGGGGAGGTGATGAAGAGATGATGAAGAGGTGCTGAAGAGGAGGAGGTGATCATGAAGAAGTGATGAAGAGGTGATGAAGAGGAGGTGATGAAGAGATGATGAAGAGGTGCTGAAGAGGAGGAGGTGATCATGAAGAAGTGATGAAGAGGTGATGAAGAGGAGGTGATATAGTGCTAAAGGAGTAGGTGATGAAGAGGAGGTGATAAAGAGGAGGTTATGAAGAGGAGGAGGAGGAGGATGTGATGAAGAGGAGGAGGTGATGAAGAGGAGGAGGAAGAGTACCGTCAGGAGCCTCGCTCAGAGCCTTCCCGGTCATCTCTCTCTCTCCGACCAGCCAAACGTATCCTGATCCCGTCATGTTCAGCTGCCGCGCCGCTTTGTACACGGCGGCTGCCTCGTCCTCACTGTGGGGGGTTAGCAGGCGTTAGCTTAACGCTAGCATGAGAGACGTGAGCTAAACGCTAGCATGAGAGACGTGAGCTAAACGCTAGCATGAGAGACGTGAGCTAAACGCTAGCATGAGAGACGTGAGCTAAACGCTAGCATGAGAGACGTGAGCTAAACGCTAGCATGAGAGACGTGAGCTAAACGCTAGCATGAGAGACGTGAGCTAAACACTAGCATGAGAGACGTGAGCTTAACGCTAGCATGAGAGACGTGAGCTAAACGCTAGCATGAGAGACGTGAGCTAAACGCTAGCATGAGAGACGTGAGCTAAACACTAGCATGAGAGACGTGAGCTAAACGCTAGCATGAGAGACGTGAGCTAAACACTAGCATGAGAGACGTGAGCTTAACGCTAGCATGAGAGACGTGAGCTAAACGCTAGCATGAGAGACGTGAGCTAAACACTAGCATGAGAGACGTGAGCTAAACGCTAGCATGAGAGACGTGAGCTAAACTCTAGCATGAGAGACGTGAGCTAAACGCTAGCATGAGAGACGTGAGCTAAACGCTAGCATGAGAGACGTGAGCTAAACTCTAGCATGAGAGACGTGAGCTAAACGCTAGCATGAGAGACGTGAGCTTAACGCTAGCATGAGAGACGTGAGCTAAACGCTAGCAAAATGAGATGTACGCTAAATGTCTTGAGATCTTAGCGAGTTTGTTGTTAGCTGGATGGGAACGAGACGTCAGCAAGGGTGATAGTGTGGCGGAGCATTAAGGGACATCATTCACCGTTGTATTGTTGTGGGTGGGGAACACGATATAGTGTTGCCCCACGGACCGGTTAGTGGACGGCACCTTGGTGTTCCGGTTTCCTGTTGTTATTATTCCAGCTTCGCAGTAGCATGCAGCTAGTACGTTTTTGTGTGTGTGAGTGAAATGAAAATAAAGTGTGGAGTTCCATATTAAACACACCGCCTCCGACTCTGAACATGGCAGATCGCAATGTTTTTATTAAACTGCCGGAGTTATGGGAACATGCCGCTACGGCCTAGTTCGTACCGCAACGAGGACCTGAAGTATTTCCACGAGATGGCGGCGCTGGGGAGCTCCGCGTCATCCAAGTTGGGCCAATTTATTGCGGACCCCCCGCGCCAGGGCAAATATGAGGCGATTAAAGCCCTTCTCCTTAAGACATTTGGCTTATCTGCTAATGAGAGGGCTCGCCAGATTGACGAGCCTAACGGACGGTAATTGTATCGACAAGCTGCCTTGGGTTATGCTGGGCATTAGGACCGCACCAAAGGAGGATCTGCAGTGCTCCACGGCTGAGATGGTCTACGGCAGTGCTTCTCAAAGTGTGGTCCATGAGCGCCCCCTAATGGTCCGTGAGTATATTGGTAACATTTCACATTTGAAATAAGTTTGAGTTTTCCGCACTCTCGCGGGAATATCTCCGCAATGGAGCGAGCTTAAAGGGGACCTATCATGCAAAATGCACTTTTGTACGTCTTTTCTACATGAATATGTGTCCCTGGTGTTCCAGGGAACTCACCAAGTGTCAGAAAACACAACCCTCTCTATTTTCCTCCATACCCAAATCTCTAAAAAAGGGGCTGCAACGGATCTGATACAAACTGATCCAGATTTGAAAATTCTCTGACGTCAGGAACGAGGAGCTCCGCCTATATGGCCAACTTTCCACCTATCAGGGGAATGAGAGGTTGCCGTGGCATGGTAACAGCATGGTAACAGCATGGTAACAGCATGGTAACATGACGCTCGTGCCTCGTCGTCCCCCTCCTTTGCAGGCGAAATTAGGCATGGCTAAAATGCATGATCTGTTTGGTATTTTGATAAAGAAACTTCACAGACATGTTTTATATAGGTATGGCCCTAGAATATATTATTCAAATATAGCATGATAGGTCCACTTTAAGTTTCACTTTCGATGATATAGCCCAGCGCAACACCTTCATCACACATGTTGCCACTTGTTTGTACCATTTTCAGGCGATTTGTAATCTGTTCTAGAAAAACGATGTGATTTTGGATATTGGTGGAGTTAGGTGGTCCGCGAGTGTTTTTTTATTGGTTAAGTGGTCCTTGGTATGAAAAGGTTTGAGAAGCACTGGTCTACGGTCAGCCGCTGCGGGTTCCAGGGGATTTCCTCCCCAACACATTGGCCCTCTGGTCGGCGACCGCCCAGCACGCTTTCCTGCATGACACCGCTAAGGCCTTTGCTCCGATCCCCACTGCTCAGCACGGCACTCCGGTGTTCCCCTGCAGCCCCCTTAAGACGGGCCTTTCTGAGTCTTGGAACACGGGGGAAAGCACTTGGTGGTGGACCTGGGTGGCAGGGCCGAGCACGTCTCGGTGGACCAGGTTCTCAGCAGAATGTTAGTGAGATATTTGCGAGACATTAATGTGACAGTAGGTAGATGTGAGCAAGACCTAAGCGAGTTGTTAGCGAGACGTTGGAGATGCGTTTAAAGTGGGTCATGTGTTATTACACAGATGTCTATTTAGAATACGCTTTTCTACCAAAACTACGCAAACAGCAAGTACCCAAACACCCACCTGGCAGAGAGGATGATGACTCGAGCCTCCAGGTCTCTGGCCTCCAGCAGCAGAGCCGTCAGGTTCGTCTCCGGGCTGAAGGACAGCACCTTCTCCGCCTGCAGGACCAGGTGTAGAGCGACAGGTGTAGAGCGTCAGGTGTAGAGCGTCAGGTGTAGAGCGACAGGTGTAGAGCGTCAGGTGTAGAGCGACAGGTGTAGAGCGACAGGTGTAGAGCGACAGGTGTAGAGCGTCAGGTGTAGAGCGACAGGTGTAGAGCGTCAGGTGTAGAGCGTCAGGTGTAGAGCGACAGGTGTAGAGCGACAGGTGTAGAGCGACAGGTGTAGAGCGTCAGGTGTAGAGCGACAGGTGTAGAGCGTCAGGTGTAGAGCGACAGGTGTAGAGCGTCAGGTGTAGAGCGACAGGTGTAGAGCGACAGGTGTAGAGCGACAGGTGTAGAGCGTCAGGTGAAGAGCGTCAGGTGAAGAGCGACAGGTGTAGAGCGACAGGTGAAGAGCAGGACATTGAGAAACACAGCAGAACAAAACACCACAGAACACACATCATAGGAAAGGCATTATTAGCAGTGAACCCTCAGATGACCCCTGACCCCACCCTTGATGACCCCTGACCCCTCCCTCAATGACCCCATGCTCCCTCTCACCCACGCCACCACGGGGGGAGGGGGGCAACAAAAAAAAGAGTTCAAGATCTGCTGAACTGAAAGAAAACTGAAAGCCGAAGCTTGAATAAATAAAGTGGGAGGGGCTTGGTGTGGTGGCACATGCAAGGTGACTGCAACCAGCCAACCAATCAGGGACGTGCATGTTAGAGAGCGCTGATGCAACCGCAAATCAAAACAAAGACTTTGAGTGGAAATAGAGGGTGTGCAGGGGTCATGACAAGGAAGGTAGAGATGGAGAAAGACGAGCCTCCAGGATAATATAAGTCTATCTCTGGGTGTGGGGGGGTCGGGGGGGGCGTGTCTGTCCGCTGCGAGCTCATTGGTTGGGCGGCGTGCATCATGTGACCATGCAAGTTTCTACCTTGGGCGTTCTCCGGAAGTCATAGTTCTGATGGTCGTTTTCATAGTTCCTTTTTTTATTCTGATGGTAATGATGTGCACAGAGAAAATATGCAGACACAGAAGATTACAGACAGGAAGAGGAAACGCATCATAGAGGGGGAGGGGCCTGTCTGTCTGACTGTCTGTCTGATCGCTAATAGCTAATAGTTAACTGCCAACACCTAACTGTCAGCTAACAGCTAACAGCTAGTCGTTAACAACTAACTGTCAGCTAACTTCTCACTGGTAACTGCTAACAGCTAACAGCTAGTCGCTAACAACTAACTGTCAGCTAACTTCTCACTGGTAACTGCTAACAGCTAACAGCTAGTCGCTAACAACTAACTGTCAGCTAACTTCTCACTGGTAACTGCTAACAGCTAACTGCTAACAGCTAGTCGCTAAGTTAACTAACTGTCACCTAACCTTTCACTGCTAATTGCTAACAGCTAACTACTAACAGCTAGTCGCTAAGTTAACTAACTGTCAGCTAACTTCTCACTGCTAACTGCTAACAGCTAACAGATAATCGCTAACTGTCAGCTAACTTCTCACTGCTAACAGCTAACACTAGCTAGCTCTCCTGCTGTTTTTAAAAGAGATTAGTTGTTAAAAGTGTCGCATTATCAGTTTTCTTTATTATTAATCTATATATATATAATTATTGTTGTTATTTGTATTATAACTGTAGTCCTAAAGTACATAACAATAACATTTGAAATAGTTTCAGATTCACCACCTCCAGCTGTTATTGCAGCACTGAGCTGAATGAAGAGCTTTGATAGTGAGGAGTGTTTGTGCATAATAACATTTCATTTCAGGTAAAATAACTCTCGTTATTCCAGTGTACAGAGCGACGCTCCACCAGCGACCTCCGGATTGTCTCTAGAGATATATTTAGTTTTGGAGATAAATATAAACCTGTGAGCGGCGTTTTTATTTTTGTAGCAGAACAAAGACCTTTACGTGTTTGAAACCTGAATCCCTCACAGCTGGAGACCTGAGACACAGCTCAGAAAACCTGAAGCATCACGGGAGAGGCTGCTTCATTTATTCATCAAATCAGGGAATCATTGTTTAGAAAATAACAAAGACATTTTATATTAAATCTGCACATCTGGATCATTTTTTTTTAATGAAGGCTAAAAACTAAACGGGGGAGTCTTTTAAAACACTTTGATTAACACACTTATACAACATGGGTTACATAATGACAAGTACTCTGTGATTTATCACGTGTTTAAATGTATGCTACAAGTCAGTTTTTCACCTGTCTCTTAAGGCCCTGACACACCAGGCAGTCACCAGAGAACTCGCCGACGCCGACTGTTAACTCGCCGTGTTCTCCTGCGTCTTGGCCATGTGTCGCACTGGAACACACCGCAAAGACTTCAGCCGAGCACGTACGAACAGCGCATGCATGTTTCGTGCGGTACTGGAGCTATCAGCCATTGGAGTGTTGCTTGTGGAAGACATTCTCAAGCAACCGTTTCGCTTCTCATGCACTGATTCGCTAGCTGAACAGCCAATCAGAGTGATTTCTTTGGCCGACCGCCTGTGGCCAACGCACGGCCGATTCAACATGTTGAATCGGCCGTGCGTCGGCCATGAAAGGCCAAATAAGGCGTGTCACGGCCGATGGTGCGGGACACACCAAATTGAGTTTGGGCAACAGGGCACGCTTCGTCGTCCGACTAACGAAAACGGCCGATTTCGGTCTGGTGTGTCAGGGCCTTAAAATGTCATCAGTTTTTCATGTAAAGCCTTTTGGACTGGGTTTTGAAAGCAATAGCTCAGTATGTCGACACAACTTGGCTAACGTTAGCGTGGGTGTGTTTACTATTTGTTTGGACTTCTCCTAAATTCTCTCTTTGCTTTAATGTGAAACTCAATATTGATGTTGTGTAATGTGAAGTAGTCTGGTTTAAACAAAGGTTAAATAAAGAACATGGGTTAGCGTGTAGAAACACAGGGAGGCGTGTGAACCCCCATCAGCAGCTGGCCCTCCACTCAATACACTCCAAATGTTCACCTCATTAAATGTACATCCATGTCCCTGAACCACACACACACACACACACACACACACACACACACACACACACACACACACACACACACACACACACACACACACACACACACACACACACACACACACACACACACACACACACACACACACACACACACACACACACACACACACACACACACACACACACACACACACACACACACACACACACACACACACACACACACACACACACACACACACACACACACACACACACACACACACACACACAGTTATTTGGATGTTAAGGAGAATTTATTCCCTATTCAGACGTGAGTTTCCTCAACTATTTAACTAGTTTTCCCTTCACTAGTTTAGTAGCTACACACATTTATTCAGTTAGCTAGTGTAGAAGTGATCACTGATCACCCAGCTGGGGTCCCATTGATCTTAACTAGTGAGGCTCTGAATGTTAACTACCTACCTATTATGGGCAAAATGTTAACTAGTTACACAAACTAGTTAACTAGTGAAGGACTGCCACTGTCATACATGTTAACTAGCAATCGTTTTGAGCTTCACTAGTTTAATATTTAACACAACACACAACTTTTGTAACGGATATTTTAGACCTTGTTAGTGAACTAGTTAACTGATCAAACTGACCATAAACTTAGTCTAACAAGTGGATATTTTGGCTTTACTATTCACCCCACTAATTAACCAGAGCAAAATGTTCGTTAACTAGTTAAGCTCCGATTGTTCATTCGCACACAGTGTATCCAACAGTACATTTTGTGTGTGTGTGTCTCTCTCTCTCTCTTTGTGTGTGTGTGTGTGTGTGTGTGTGTGTGTGTGTGTGTGTGTGTGTGTGTGTGTGTGTGATATTCTTCATTATTTCATTATGAACCCATGTTTAATTCAGGACTCTCCCTACTTTCACTAATGTGCTGTAATATTCATGTTCCTCCTGCATCATTGATGAGTCTCTGAGACAGGAAGTCACAGTTTCACTTTTTATAAACTTTGGTTTTTACTTCACTGACTTAATTACCCGCGTCTCTGAGGGTCTCACTTTTAAACATCCTTATCTTCACATTCAGAGAGCCTCCTCCGAGCCGCCCTCCTTCACCCAGAGATAATTAGTGCACATGTTTTATTAAAGTGTGTTTTTACTAATTACTAATTTGTCTTTACAAATATTTTCAGCTGCCTTCACTTGCTCTAAGTGCTTTTAATATTTTAGTCCTTCATAATATTTTATTTATTTTTATCTTGCTCTGTTTTAGGTCTGTGCCCACATTATGATACGCCGTGTTTATCTCCACTGGCTGTTCTTCAACCGGCTGTATGGCTTGGAGGTGAATTATATTTCTACATGTTTGATATATTTAAAGGTGAGACATGGAACGATGTTTTCTTCATATGTTGCAGGACAAGTTCTTCACCTCGGTGTTAATACTCTGACTGCATTAATATTCAGAAGATACCTCTGGGTATAAACGGTGATCAATTATGATTTGTTGATTAAATGATCGCTTATCACCACTGATCACTGAGACTCCTGAGGAATAACTGAGGGGATAAACCTGACTGACAGACAGACAGACAGACAGACAGACAGACAGACAGACAGACAGACAGACAGACAGACAGACAGAACTGAACTGAAGGAAAAGGAAAATTAAGGTATTTTTGAAGTAGAATAAAGAAGAACACAGAAATCAACAAAGAGAGGAAGAAACTAAAACTCCACCAAATGGCACAGAATGAATTTTTTGTTGTTGTGAGAGCAAGAATCTTCCGGTTGGTGCTTATAGTGAAAAAAAGGTCTAAAATTGTCTTGGAGTGTTTTCTTGATGAAACGCTGAGAGTAGCTGCTGCCCAGCACCCGGCCAGCAGCTTTCTGCAAGAAAAAGGCACTAACTGCCCATTACAGGTCCTGGAAATAGCTTCTACTGACATCTACCTGCTAACATCGAACTGCCAACATCTACCTGTTAGAGCTAACTGCTCAAATGTACCTGTTACAGAACTGCTAACATCTAACTGCCAACATCTAACTGCTAACACCTAACCGCTAACATCTAACTGCTAACATATAACCGCTAACATCTAACCGCTAACATCTAACCGCTAACATCTAACATCTAATTGATAACATCTAACTGCTCACAGCTAACCGCTAACATCTAATCGCTAACATCTAACCGCTAACATCTAACTGATAACATCTAATCGCTACCATCTAACCGCTAACATCTAACCACTAACATCTAACTGCTAACATCTAATCGCTAACATCTAACCGCTAACATCTAACTGATAACATCTAACTGCTAACAGCTAACCTCTAACCGCTAACTGCCAACAGCTAACATCTAATTGCTAACATCTAACTGACATCTAATCGCTAACAGCTAACCGCTAACTGCCAACAGCTAACATCTAACTGATAACATCTAACTGCTAACAGCTAACCGCTAACATCTAACCGCTAACATCTAACCGCTAGCATCTAACCGCTAACCGCTAACCGCTAACATCTAACTGCTAACAGCTAACCGCTAACTGCCAACAGCTAACTGCTAAAAATGAGCCACAGACAGTTTGGTAGCAATCAGACCTACGCTTTATGACTAAAATAACTACATTTATCCAGGGGGGGAATCTGGTATTGTGACAGGTGCTCTAACTTAGAATAAAATATAAATAAAAGAAAATATTTAAAATATTTAGGAGATTTGAGCTGAACTCGTCTGAAAAACTGAAAACGAATCAAAACAATTTCATAATGAAAATATGAAAAATATAAATAACTGCAAAATGAATTAAAAAAATCGAAGGACACAAACAGACGTTTTAAAGAAATGTGAAAATACGGACAGAAAGTCGGGCAGAACTTCGGAGAGAAAATCATCTTTATATTTATCTCGTTCTTGGTGGAGATCAGGGGCGTCGCCTGGACCTGAAAACATTCGGGGCTTAGCCCACAGTGGCGGCGGCACTACAGTGGCATT